TGTTGAATTGCTTTCTAAGTCACTTCTCACCAACTGTATCAAAGTCCTTTTCATAGTCGAGGAAGTTGCAGCAGAGATTTGACTGCCACTCTTTGCTCTGCTCGATGATGATGGGTAGAGTTCCTATTTGCTCTGCACATGACTCACTCTTATTCAAGGCATAGTCTTGCCTCCAGATCATTCTTCAGCCCCTCCAGGATGACGCGAGTCAATATTTTGCTTGATGTGGACAGGAGCATGATTTTCTTCCAGGTTTCGCAAGGACTTAAATCGTCCTTCTTTGACGGTTTGACAAGGTTTCCTTTCTTCCAAACTGTAAGTACCTTCACTGCCTAGAAACTTTTCTGTGGTAGTGGTGTGAGCATATACGCTGCAGTCTCTGGATCTATTTTCAGTGCTGCCAGGGGGATTCTGTCTGGTCATGCTGCCTTCTCGGATGGCTTTCAGCAGACTGATTGCACTGAGAACTTCTGCTCTTCTCAGAGGACTGGTGTTCACTGGTAGTTCTGTGCGTGTTGTTGTTGATATTTCTGGACGGGTTAAAGGAGGTGAGGTTGATTCGAAAGTCGTGTGAAATGATTAGACTGTTGTTTTGTTTGTCCTTCCTTTTTGGTATTTAGGTTCCCTTCAACATCATCCGTGGGTTTCATCTGTGTTGGTCTCCTCCAGGATAGAGACCTGGTTGTCTGATACTATGTTCCGGGGTCTCTTTTATCTGCAGTTTCTTCAGCTCCAGTCGCCAGTGCGTTGACGAATTGTCGGCTGTCTTTCCTAACACTCTTATTAACTGCTTTATTCAGTGCGATGTGCATTGGAACCAACTATTCCTTGTATTGTCCATCTTTGCATTGGTTCATCTTCTTCTTCACCATCCTCCTCTCCTGTATTGGCCTCCAGGTGTTTGTAGAGAGCCATTCATTTTCTTGCCACACCTCCCGTCCTCAAACGACTGTACACGTCTCGTTGGACATCACTTTTAGAGAGTCTCGATGTCATTTTATTTTCAATGTCCTTCCACACGGGTTTCCTCAGTGATGCCACATAATGTCTCTGACTTTTCTCTGTTTGCTGCAGCTGAGGGGTTCTTCAATGTTTTATCCTTGAATTTTTATTTGGAACTTGAGTTACCGTCTGTCTCGAGTTGTTTTGAAAGCTTTCAGCTTGACCCTGAGTGTTTCTTGCACTAGAGAATAATCTGAGATTGCATCTTCTCCTCTCTTCAATTTTGTTTGCAGAAGACTTTGTTTTCACTCCCTTGAGATTGAGATGAAATCTACTTGGTTTTTGGTGTGTCCGTGACGTGAAATCCAGGCTACCTTTTGTATATGTTTGTATTTGTACACGCTGCCTCCGACCACCAGTTCATTGAAAGCGCAGAAGTCTCAGAAGAGTTCTCCGTCCTCATTCGTTTCGCCAAGAGCCTTTCGACATATGATGAGTTCGTTTCATGTGTTGTTTGCTGTCAGTTTGGCTTCCATTCATGTCATACGAAAGGATTTTGATGCTGTCATCTGGTTATGGTTTTGTTCATTACTGCTTGAAGTTGTCTGTGTAATTCCTTCTTCTCTTGATCTGCATTGTTTGTGGATGCAAGTTAGTGGTTGATTGAACTTTCCTGACTTCGGGATTCAATCTTGCTGTGCTTATCTTGGGGGAGGTTAGATTCCACTGGATAAGAGATTTTGCTGCTGTTGATAGCGTTATGATAGCCACCCGTCAGTGTGGTCATGGTTGTCATGTGGGTGACCGGTTGTCGACTCTGCAGTTAGCCATTTGGAGTGTCCACTTCCACTCTAACTGCTCTCACAGATTCCTGCACTGCTATCTCCAATCTTCTCATTTCTTCTGTGATTTGAACAGCCTTCTCAGCTTCAAACACGGTGCGAACATTCGATGTGGAACGAAGTCACATCGGGTGGTTGTCTTCCCTAATGCTTTCTCTAGCTTCAGTCATTTCCTGGATTATACCAACGTTTATGCGAGTGGTTTAGTGACTACCTGATGGATAGGAGGCAGAAGGTAAGGGTTAATGGTGTACTGTCAGGATGGAAAGCAGTACTAAGTGGAGTACCTCAGGGAACGGTACTTGGCCCCCTGCTATTCTTATTATACGTAAATGAAGTGCCAAAAATTCTTACCTCATCTTCCTTACTATTTGTGGACGATATTAAGATATGGAAAACCGTAAATAGTAGCGATGATAGGTTGGTACTACAAAACGATCTAGACAAATTAGCCGAATGGGCTAACCTTTGGAGTCTGGAAATTAATTCCAAGAAAAGTGCGGTAATGCACCTAGGTCAGAAGTCTTACAAGTCGTACTCCATGGAGGACAGAGAACTGCCAGATGTTAGGGAACAAAAGGACTTAGGAATTATTGTTAGCCATGACTTAAAAACAGTGACAAATTGTAATCGAGCCGCAGCTAAGGCTTTTCGAATGCTATGGGCCCTTCGAAGGGCTTCCAAGCGATTAGACGAGGGTATGTTCCAAGTCCCCTATGCAACATATGTCAGACCTCATCTAGAATACTGCACAAAAGCGGTGAGTCCATGCCTCAAAAAGTAGGCACATATCCTGCAAAGAGTACAGAGGGTAGGGACAAAGTTAGTTAGTGGTATATCACACCTTCCTTATGATAAGAGGATGGAGCATTTAAATCTCTTCCCATTATCATACCGACGGAGGATGGGCGACTTAATTTTGGCTTACCGTATTTTCAATGGTGATTTAGGGATTGACCCTTCAAACCTTTTCTCTCCCTCTAAGATACATTTACGGGGTCACCAGAAGAAGGTGCTCAAACCGAGGTCGAATCAAATACGTTTGGAGTTTAGATTCTCTCACAAAGTGGTCAACGACTGGAACTCCTTACCTGATTCAGTAGTAACAGCTCCATCGGTGAGCGCTTTCAAAGAGAAACTGGATCTCTGCAGAGATGTAGTATATCGTGAGGATTAACATAGGCAACAAGAGCCTTCTGTCCTTATAATCTGAATCTGGGTACCATTGAGAAATATAGCTATTTTTGCCGATGGTTTCTGTTTTTGTAGTTTGCTGAATTTCTTTGGCATATTTTTTTACCTTCTGCTGAATTTTACTTGTGGTTTCAGTGAAATTTTTAGCTGGTTAACTGTGTGGGGTTAGGTGTTTTGGGATTTTCAGTTGGAAGCTGTTGACGTGTGTTTATTGCCTGGTTTTGCGCAAAATAGAGCTTGAATGGAACGCCGGCCGTTGGAAAGAAATAGCTTACTTTAGGTTTTGTATTAATCGACGTTTGTGCGTATTGCTATGGAGTCGTAAATTAGGACTAAACAGCTGTCGATTACTCCTATGTTTTTCAAGGGTTTTCTAAGTGTTATCAGTTCATGACGAAATCCTCCAACCGATCAAATGAAGGCCCTAGAAAACCAATACTTGAGAAGTATTTGTCTTGACCAGTGCTGTGAGGTAAGCACTAGCTACAAAGATTAGATAGGATTCAATAAATTTTTGCATGATTATGTTTAGGTGGCATTTCAGAAAGCTGAGTTAAAAATAGTATAATATGACCGTTTTTATACTGAATCTGATTTATAAATCTACCTACTTCATGGGTGAACTATAAACTAAACAGCAGGTTTGGAAGTGTTATATTTTCTGAAAAGATTTTTTACATATTAACATAGATAACTAAGCCATAAAATTTCTTTTGCTTTAGTAGAGGTAAGCATATCCTTTTCTGAGTTTTAAAACTGTAAGATTGGAGTGTTTATGTTAAGGTGGAAGAAAAAACTTTCACACCTCATTACAACAATATCAAGTAATTTTTGTTTTGTTATTTTAGTAAATTTTTATTTTCGGTTTTGTCTCATCCTTCTGTACACACAATGCTTCATCTAGTTGCACAACCACAACTTAAAACGTAAATCTGGAAGGATTCCTGTAAATAAAATTCCAGTTATGACTTATTTACCTATGTGAAACGGTTATTTTCTCCTGTATTTTAAGTATTGTGAGCATTTGGGCGACAAAAAGGATCAATATGTATATATGTATATATTTATAGGGTGGTCGCATACCTTTTTATTGAGATTTAATGTGGTAGACAGGAATCCAATCAATCATATTCACAATTTTCAAATAAGTTAAGAATTTGCAGCATATACAGTTCGACGGGAGAGGAGATTTTACCACAGTTTCCTTTGGGCACCAACTTATTCAAATAACAGCATGTGATCTGTTTCATACCATAATTGGTTATCAAGATGGTAAGCATATTTACATAGAGCTATATACTACTGATAGATCGAGGTAAGTAGTTTGTTTTATATCACTCACACCAACCAGTAGTGCTTATTGGCCAGAAATCGGGTGGTTTGAACTAATTCGACTCTGTGAGCCTAGCCAGACCAAGTACACTGCTGATAAGCTCGGCCTCAAGTGAGAGAGACGGCCATCTGGCGTTTAGATCACCTCGATCTGGCTAGCGAGCACCGTTGGTTGATGTGAGTCGTATACAGCTGCTCATCTCAAACAATCAGTAGTGTATAACTTTATGCAAAGAATACAATAAAACAAAAATGCTATGGTACTGTCGTTAAAGACTTTGTTTGTTCCCGTGTGAAGAATTAAGTTTTTCCATGAAGTACGACTTCAGTTGGACAGCTTTGAATTTCTTTAGTGAATGAACTAATAGTGTGAACTGCTTCGATAGTAAATAAACGTATGTTTATAAGCTTAACAGTTAGCATTGGTATTTCCCACATGTGTGTCTGACTAACTGTGGGATAAATGGAGGATTACCACAATAAGGTGTGGGTAACATTAAAAATGTCACAGAAAATATTGAACATAGTAGCTATTCGTAAGATAAGAATAGCGCTTGACAAATTCTGTTCCCAGTGTCTACAGAAGCTTATATCACTCTTATGTGGCTTTGAACTATATCTAGTAAATAATGATATTTAATGACATTAACGGTAGATCTATGAATTTTCTTGTCTAAATGATAAACTCACTTTCGAAAAGTGAAGCACTGGTCCTACCATCGATCTCTTCTGTTTCCTCTACATGTTCATCTTTAACTGATATAGATGTTTTGTAGCTGGGATTTGAATTTTCAATATTACCATGGTTTATTCTTTCCTCTGAAAGATGATTATCTGACATTAGTTGATTTGTCCTTTGAATAGCCTATATTTGAAAGAAGACAATAGTTATACAGACAAAAGTAAATATAAATGCTAATATATAAAAAAAAACTGAACAGGGTTCTGTGGGAGCGAGGTTGGGCATTGATGTTGGGTTGCCAAACTCGTTTCTGCTGTTAGCAGCGATAATTTTTACAGATACTTGGAATATATAGACTTAAAAATAAAATATCCACGAATGCTAATACAGTGAGATATAAGGAATTCATCAAATTTCGGCAGAATTCTTCAGCTGAATTCTCTGCCTATAGTGATATATTATGCGAAATACATTGGGAGATATGTGGCGAATAAGCAAACTACAGTGAATCAATCATGACAGAAGACAAGTAAAAGTATTTTACAAGTCAGTTTTGGATAGATAAAGGGGAAGGCGTATGAGAAGTTAAAAATTAAAAATGTGTCAGACTTTGGTTCAGTTATATCACTATAATAAATAATGAGTTATCAGACACAGAACTTGAAAATGTTAGAAATTTCAGGATGAATGGTAATAATAACGCGAGTTAAGATAGTTAAAATGGAGACAAGAATAATAATAATTATTATTATACATTTAATAACGTTGTAATAACAATTAATGAGGAAAAGACTACCATGGTAGCTTCAAAACGACCATCTTTCCTTCTGTACATAGAGACTGGGCTTGTACATCCTAATTACACAAACATTTTTCTGTTTTTTCCGTCTGCTGACAATAGTAAGTGATCTGACAGCGTCAATATCACGTTCGTAGTTTATAAGAAGCTTTGTTATCTACCTTTTCTCTAACTTGACTTCAGCTGTTTGCAACCATTTGGGCAACTACTCAGTCATGTGAGTTGACAATCACGTTTCCGCGAGACCTATGTATTTGCTCCCACAAAATCTCACTCGAACTGGTTTACGCAGTTAGAAGTAAAGAACATTGGCATTCAGTCTTTCCCAGATTAGTGAAGCACTCAGCTGATAATGTTATAGAACACAAGCTTTGCAGTATAACAAGTTCTAATTGATTTATCAAATCTTAGTTTAACTACTTATATATCGTCACTTGTTAGTAGTAGGCGGATTCATACAGCCTTTTGAGAAACGGTTTCGGGAGTTCTAATGACTACTGTGTCTTTAGAATGCTTATTGATAAACCTTTCAGGATATCCACTCGTAGATATAACTCTGTATTTTATAGCACTTTATGTACAGTGTTCAGCCGAAGAGGTCTGTCAAAACTTGGTGAATTCATTAAGTCCTGCTTTATTAACATTTGTTAGTTGTTGTAAATTAGTTTCTGAAAATAAATGTTTCTCAAAACAAAGTGGTTGCCGTAATATTTTTCAATGAATTCACGGGGTCATAATGCCTGTTAACTGGTTATTTGGAGCAGCGATTATTCACGGTAACAGCATAGTAGAGTTCGCTTCATAGGTATACATTACACTGAATTTCAACACACTTTACAGTATACTTTATATATTCTTATTTTCTGTTAACAGATACCCATTTTTTAGCCTTTTCTGAGGCGGAACAAGTAAAGATTTAAGTAAACTTGTCTGAATTCAATAGCTTACTAAGCGCCCTTATTTTACAGGTGTAAAGGAACTCGGGGAACGTACGCATACAGCGATGAATATTTATTATTATTATTTGTAATAGATGACAGCAGTTTGATGTTTGCCTGCTTAAGCAGTTTAGTAGAACACTCGGCACTTACAAATATTGGTTATTTGACCATGTGGTAACCTTCAGAAATGAGATGAGCCTTAGTACATATGACAGAAAACAACTGAAATTCTTGTTAGAGTTTCATTTCTTAAAATTCTCCTGACGTTCGTCTCTGACTCAAAGACAAACAAAGTGGAGTGTGAGGACAGAGGAAAATCCACAGTAAGATACCTCTTTCAAACACTGTTCTTTAATCGACTGAAGACGATCATTGGAAATTTCAAAATAATGATCACTGAATAAAGAATATTCTTCTCGGTAACTTCATCAGGTTTTGCAGTTATTTCCATAATAATGAAAGAATTATTGCTATCGGCAACGTAAGTGTTTTTTAAATGTAATAATGAATAAGTGACAGTAATAGTGGCTGGACTTGTTTCTTCTGCACACAGAGCACCAGTTATCCTAGGTGAATCACAACAGCCTCTGCTGTTTGGGGTGTGCGGCATTTGGATGCTTTTGGTAATTTATTTGGTACCCGATAGGTACCTCAATGCTAGATTTGTGGCCCGTTTGAAGCGGGTGGTTTAATACTGAGCTGTTGATGGTTTTCACTACAACTTTTGTTTAACCACACTGGTAGATGTTCTCGAGCACGAAAAACCAAGTACCTAGGGCAACGGCTAATATACCTCGCCGCACAAGAGCAGTTAATTGGTAGGTACAACTAGAGGTTGCTGGTGTAGATACTTTATCTTTCAACTGAGAAATCACAACCGGTCGTGTAGAAAATAAGGCATCGGAAGTCCTTTGAATCGATTTTCTTCGCTTCTTCGTAATTATTTCGCCGGGTATATCGCTCTAGAATTGCTGTCGTATGTATAAAGGCTTCCTGCCTACAGCTATTGAATAGTCCTTTTCACCTTTCTTAGCCATATGTTTCCTGATGAATTTGTCTAGATAGCTATTAGGACAAGACATATAAGCGAACAATATTGTTTTCAATTAGATCTTCTTCAGGCTTTACTCTAATTTACATAGATTTATGTATAAAAATTTTTAACCAATGACGGTCATTCTGTGGATCAAATAATAATAATAATAATGTGGTAAATGTTTTGAACGTCATTAATAATGATGATTATAATGATAACAAAATATTGATAGTAAGTTATATATGTCCAAACCAAGTTCACTTTTAACAGTTTGAAAAAATTTTGGCATTGGGTATAAAATATTCATTATAATAAAGGTTTTTATATTTTCCAATGAATGAAAAACAAAACGATATTGTTTTTACTGACATAATTAATTCCTGGAGAAAATAAACTGTGTATCTCCCAGAGTCCAGTTTACTTCGGACGCAGAATCAGACGTCGGTGAACTACCATTTCTAGACTGCCTAGTTAAGAGAAGGGAAAACGGACATTTTAGTATATCCATATTCAAGAAGAAAACCCACTCCAATAAATATTTAGATTTCAAATCATCACACCCCATAAGCGCAAAGGTTTCAGTTGTTTCAGGTCTTCTTAGACGAGCACACTCTCTGATAACGGATGAGAAAGAAAAAGAAGAAGAAATATCAAACATTACTGAAAGTCTCAAGCAAAACAACTACCCAAGGAACTTCATCAACAAAATCAACATAGACATTAAGTATGGACGAAAACGCATTCCGAAAACATGGACCTCAACAGTCGTCATTCCATATAGAGCAGAGACCTCAGATGATATCAGAAGAGTACTCAATCAGGTCGACATTAGAGTTTTCTTCAAAACATCAGACACACTTCAAAGCAACCTTGTCCATATAAAAGACCAAATCCCTAAAGATTATCTATCTAATTGTGGCTATAAAATCAAATGCTTGGAATGTGATACGATATACATCGGACAAACATCTCCAGAGAGAAATCAAAATCAGAAGAAATGAACACCGTAGAGCATCTCTTCGATAACTGAGAAATCCGGTTGAACTAGAAAAACTTAAAATACCTTAGCCATTGGTGTACAGGCAAAATCGATTTTGGCAATATTGAAATAATCCAGAAAAACTTCAGAAATCACAAGGAACGTCTAATATCAGAAGCACTTCATATCAAGTGGAATCCAAATTGTCTGAATAGGAATGATGGACTAAAACAGAATCTGACCTGGTTACAACATCTCCCTCCTCCATGAAATGATAAAATCAACACGAATGTGCCAAGCAATTTCATTATGTAAACACACGCTGTTTTTATAATTTTACACACTTATCAAATCCAACAATCTACACTTGGTTTTGTTACCCTTACCCACTGACCAACTTGACAACGAAAAATGACCCCAGACTAACGAACGATGATCAAGTTAGTAAACTTTATTTTGATATCATAACAGACGTATGATCTTTCATCGCTTTCAGCTTCTGAAACTTGCTGCCGTCAGCTAGTATGAAGTTCATCTTGTTGATGTAGAAAAAGAACTCCAGGTCATCCGAGACATTCTAAGCGAGAACGGATATCCAGAGAAGTTCATTAAAGCCAACATAGGTTACAATAGCCGTAAACATAAAATGGCAACGGTGGAGAAAAAGCCTCTGTTTTTACGTCTCCAATTCAAGGGAGATACTCCTGCGGAGATTCTATCGCAACGTTTAACCAGGGAGATCAAGAAAACTTTCTACTCCGCACGTCTGTGTCTATCCTTCAGTAGCCGTCCAATGTTCACCCAGCAACTCCAAGATGTCTTACCTAAGCTTAGCTCTTCTTCATGCATATACCGTTTCAACTGTTCCTGTGGTTCAAGTTATATAGGGCGCACGATTAGGCAGATTCGTCTACGGGTTCGAGAACATTTACCAGCTTGGTTCAGCAGGGGGGAAATTAAGTGCATAAAAAGCTCGATCCTGTCACACTTGGTCGATACTGGACATCATATCGATGTCAACACAGCTTTCAGGGTTATATACCGAATTCCGAAGTCGTTATCACGTACAGTTCGCTTACGTCTTCTACATATAGCTGAAGCTGTTGCAATAAGATCGACTAAACCGGAACTTTGTATCCAAAAAGAACACGTCCAGACGCTGTTCCTACTGTGACCAAACTTGGATTGATGATTCTTCTTCTCACCAAGAGTGCTCCTTCCCCTTAACGCTCTTGGCTTTTTTTTCCTTTGCTTATTATTACAATTATTATTATTTTTATTCGTCATAATTTATGCCCTTCATGCAAACATTCTCTCAATACTATCGAATTTTTTCGTTTATACTATCCGGACTTATTATTAGTGATATTATCTCTTTTCTCAATATATGCCTCCACCTGTTTCATTTCACATATTCGTTATCTCATT